CCCTGGATACATATCTTTCCTGCCACTCATAGGTCGTGTGAAGCTAGAAGAACTGTACAACTTTTCCAACTAATTCATCTGTAAAATGGGAATAATAATAATAATGATAGCCGTCTCACAGGGTGGCCGTGAAAATCCGATGTGATTGTGGAAGAACTTGGTACATGGTGACATTTTGGGTAGTGCCGTTTGCCTAGGGTGTTTCTGAGGTGACTGAAGTAAGTGATGCATTTCTGAGAAAATCCTCTCACCGTACCCCATCCTCTCATTCAGGTTTTCTGGACCTCAACACTGTTGACATTGTGTGGACTTGGTACTTCTTTGGTGCTGTCTGTGCATCTTTGGATGCTTGGCAGCATCCCTGGCCTCTACCTCCTAGATGACAGTTGCACCCCCAAGTCATGACAACCCAAAACGCCTGCAGACATTGTCAGATGTCCGCTGGGGCGCACATGGCTTCTGGTTGAGAGCCACTGGTGTAGACCTGCTCTGCTGCTGGCTGCCTCTTTGTACCGGACCTCTATCAAACTTTCTGTGACTCTGTGTGCTTCCAATGGAAGTCCACATTCCTTAGGGTAACTTTTAGGGTTTGCTCTGTCTGAGCCCTAGTTTGCCTTAACATATTATTTCCTAAAACAGTCCTGCCTTAGTCAGCCTTAGCCTGTCTGTCCCTCTCACTCTCTCGCTCTGTCACTGTCTCCTTTTAATATTTCCGACGTGAAAATCAAACACAGAGGCTCTTAGTACATGTGGAATTGTGTGGAAGGTGTGCGGAAGAGGGGGTAGTCTTATACGGCGAGTATATAACAAACTCTGTATTTTGAGTGGAAATGTTAGGGGGTCGTCTTATACGCCCAGTCGTCTTATACGCCGGCAAATACGGTACATAAAATGTGAGGACTTGGACATTATCTCTGCCTTTTAGGACTTGTCTTCACTTAAGTTGCTAACTTGCCTTTTACAGTGGTCGACAGTGCTCAGATTTTCCAGTCTTTCAAAATCAGATTTTCACTCTTTAAAAAACAGATGCTAACATAGCATCCTCTAAACTCTTCTGGGGGCAGCATGAAGGGGTGTCGTTGTAGACTGAAATCTGAAACCTTCTTTTCTTTTTGCTCCTCTAGGTGGGTGCCGGCCAGGAGAGGCACAAGGAAGACGGCAAGAAGAAGAACAAAGAAGGGTCTGGAGATGGAGGGCGAGCGGAGGTAGGTGTTCAGGGCTGTCATCAGGTTTGACAGGTGGCAGAGCGCTGTCTCAGACGTGTCCTGTGTCAGATCCTCAGGGCTTACATGGGACTGTCAGGTGGACTCGATGGAAATTTCAGGGAGAAGAATTAGGAAAGCGTGGGAGGGAAGAAGGACTTGCAGCTATTTGTTACTGAAAAAGGAAAGCAACTGAAATATAATTGTAAAGCAATCTGTGGGATGAGATATGAAAACCAGATGTTGAAGGGGAGAGACTCGGTGTCCGAGCTTCTCCTGAGTACAATAGAAACTAAGAAAGCCCACGTCCTTGACCTCCTTCCCCCTCTTTCCACCTGGACTGGCCAGTGGGTTTGGTTTTGAGCCAAACTGCCTTTCAAGTAGTGGGCATATGCTTCCTGTTTCCCATGATCCGACTGAAGGCGGGGCCTTTTCTGAAAAGGAAAGCAAGCACTTACTGATTATTCCTCTTTTCCTTTGTTGTCTTGCAGTTGAATCCTTGGCCTGAATATATTAACACGCGTCTTGAGATGTACAATAAACTAAAAGCAGAACACGACGCCATTCTGGCAGAAAAAGCAGCAAAAGAGAGCAAGCCCATCACAGTCACTCTGCGGGAGGGTAAGCAGGTGGCCGCGGAGTCCTGGAAAACCACGCCTTACCAGATCGCGTGTGGCATCAGGTACCGGCCACACCTGTCTCATCTTCTGCTGTTTGTAATTAAACTTAAACGTATTTTGCCAGGTTTTATCCTCAAAACATCTTTATGTTACTGTTCCATATTTTTAATGTTTAATTTACATTATTTGGGATTTTTTTCAAAATCGAGAGGATGTAGAGCTTTATAGCCAAGATTCAAAGTTAATTTCTTAGAGGCTCTAGTTTGGTTTTATCTTATGAAGGATTTTATATGATTAGTTCTTCAACTTTGATCAGACATGTCACAAAAATCAAGTAGATAAGGCCTCACAATCTATTTTGATTTAAATGTCTCGGTTTTAAACTTAAAGGAAGGTTGATCATCTCACAGGGGAAAGTTAGGAAACTATTATTCAACATGAGTAAATGTACTAATTTTATAAATCTAAAGGATTTAAAAACAACATTTTTATTGGGTTGGGAAGAAGTAACAATCAGATGTATACTCTGTAATAGAATAATGCTTTCTTAATCTGATATGATTTAGGACTCAATAGTTGGGTTAGTTTCCATATGAGATTATAAATAATTGGATAGACCTTTAAATAACAGTGCAATCTGTCGTTTTAAAGGTGATTTTGAAGGTCATTTGGTGATGCGATTTCTCCATTGTTGCACACTGATATTGTAGCAATGGGTATTAAAATTCAGGCTCCTATCAGTGCAGGCACTTTTTCTCTACATTCTACAATATCCTCCTCCATTGTAAAATAGTTTTTTGAGAATTGCATATTTTACATTGAATCACATGAGACCTTGATGAACTTTAGAGCTAGGGTTCAGTCATGCTCTGTAAGTAAGGGTGCTTGAAAACATTTTTCCACAAGTCCAGACTAACTTCTTGTTCTGTGAAAAATTATAGCACCAGTAACAGGCTGTTTAAAGGTTCTGATGATTAGGGATGAATATGAAAGGGAAGCAAAAAGAAGGCATGCTCCATTTGCTTCAAAAGGGTTTTCTTTGAAGTTTTGTTTTGTTCTCAGTCTTAAAGTATGGGTTATTTTGTTTCTTCTTTGGAAAATTGAAATGATCCAGTATGGTCCATGTGAGGTTATTTAGCATTGACTCAAGAAATTCTGTTACAGATTTCAAACAGTAGGTAGAGCAGAGAAGTTATTTAGTACCCCTGGCCCCTTTTGCTGTTGGAATCTAAGTAGCTTGACTTTGTGGAAACTTCTTTGGAGAAAGTAAAAAATAAACTAGACTACTGAAAAGTCTCATTGTTTGTTTATTAGAGTGGCTATGTCTGTTTAAATAAGTATTAAATGTCATAAAATAGTGTTCTGAATTTTCAGGATCTTATAGTTAATTTTTAGGTACATTGGCACATTTTTGGAGTTTGTTGCTTTTTCCATTTTATTTCAGAAATATATATATCTATATATTTTATATAGTGGTATAGTATAGAATAATATAATATAGTACATATCCTCCTATTTAATAAAAGGCTAATATGCAAATTGACCTAACAGTGGAATGACCGGTCATATGATGTGCATTGACCACCAGCGAGTAGATGCTCAACACAGGAGCTGCCCCCTGGTGGTCAGTGTTCTCCCACAGGGGGAGCGCTGCTCAGACAAAAGCTGAGCTCACGGCTGGCGAGCACAGTGGTGGTGGTGCTAAGGATGTCTGACTGCTGGCTTAGGCCCACTCAGATTTCATGCACCAGGCCTCTAGTAGTAGTATAGTGAGCTCACGGCTGGCGAGCGCAGTGGTGGTGGTGCTAAGGATGTCTGACTGCAGCCTTAGGCCCGCTCAGATTTCATGCACCAGGCCTCTAGTAGTAGTATAGTATCCTAGAGGCTTGATGCACAGATTTGTGCACCAGTAGGGTCTCTCGGCTAGGCCTGCACCCCCTCACAATCTGGGACCCCTTGGGGGATGTCGGACTGCCATTTTCGGCCCAATCCCCATAGGAGATTCATCAGTCTGTTCCATGTTTCCATGCTGTACATCGAGCGTCTGCCCCCTGGTGGTCAGTGCACGTCATAGCTACAGTCAAATGGTCGTTCGGTCGCTTAGGCTTTTATATATATAGATGTGTATGTATATTATATTGTGTTTATTTTCCTGTTCTTGTTAAGTCAAGGCCTGGCTGACAACACTGTTATTGCGAAAGTGAATAAAGTTGTCTGGGACCTAGACCGTCCTCTGGAGGAAGATTGTACCTTGGAGCTTCTCAAGTTCGAGGATGAGGAAGCTCAGGCTGTAAGTTTTTACTCCATGTTCATTACATTTCAGGATGGTGATTCTCATTTGCATTGTTTTCCAGCTCATTACCACTGCCAGGAGGTGACGAAAATTTATTGATGTCTCATCATATTCGAAGTCTTTATTTTTGTCTTTCACTAAGGGAATATAATAAAAGTGCTTGCTTTATGAAATCAAGAGGTGAAATTGAATAAATTTATTTTCACTACTAGATAATAAAATGAGGGCATATTTATGGAAATTCTATTAAAATTTTATTAGAAATTGATTAAGCAAGTAAAACTTGCTTTCTACACTGTCAGTCAACACTTAAGCAAGATGTATGTATATATTAAATAAATAAATTGGAACATTACCTAAAGTACTTACATTGGGAAGTTGATTTCCATTTTTTCCTCATCTTTAAGTGCATATCTGCTGAAAGTACAATAAAACCAACTTGCATATGATGGCAAGGTTTTCTCCTTATTTCTTCATGATGGTATACATGTAAAGGGAAGTAAAATGTGTTGTTTTAGTTTGTTTCATTAATGATGGTTTACTTATGTAGGTGAATCAATAGTTTTCAAAAGTATTCTGGATTCCTTAAGCTTTTAAAGAGAATTTTAAAAATCATTTGGGTACCTTACTGTTAAATAAATCTTAAAAACGTTGATTTGGATACATTCTGACTCATCTGAATGACCACTTTAAAGCCAAATCCTGCCATTAGCTTTCAGTGTTCACTGTTTGTCCTTGTACTCTCTAGTGGTCTTATAGGATCGAGTTGTACCACCCTAGTTGTTTGGGACCAATAAGAAAAAGGCCCTTGCAGTCCAGAAGGCAGTCACAGGGTGAGTGGCGATTATTTCCAGGGAACAAAATCCACCCATGTAATTAATGGGGCTAATTTGAATTGAATTAGTTTGAAAACAAACTAGGTAATTTCTCAGGTAGAAATATACTTTAGCAATTAGCATCCTCTTACATTATTTTGGCTCTGTATAGAATCACACTGCAGTTTATAGATTTGTAAATTTAGATTTTTCTTTCTGGGTTTATTTATAATAAATTCTATTTATCTCTTTCAGATGACCATATTAACTTATAACACATATGCCCAGTCTCAGACCTTCTCATTTTTCTTTGAATTTCAGGTATATTGGCACTCAAGTGCCCATATAATGGGTGAAGCCATGGAAAGAGTCTATGGAGGCTGTTTATGTTACGGTCCACCAATAGAAAGTGGATTCTATTATGACATGTACCTTGAGGAAGGGTAAGTATGTCCTTGGATAAAGAGAAATAAAATCTGATTTTCCATGAGTCCATACATTGTTTTTAAATTGTTCTCAGTAAAGGAGGAGTGATATAACGCTTGTTGCTTCATGGTCACCAAGCGTTCCCACTGTTAAAACTTAAAGTGTGGCCCTGACCGGTTTGGCTCAGTGGATAGAGCGTCGGCCTGAGGACTGAAGGGTCCCAGGTTCTGCTAGTACCTGCGGCCTTTCACACAGTAAGTGGGCCACAACCATCTAGGGAATTGATAAAGGGGATCCTTTAGTTATTGCATGGATGGTCACTGCTACTTGAAGTGTGTAATAACTTACAGAGGTGTAGAGACTTTTGTGAGAGCTTTGTTCTAGGTCGATGGAGGCAGGGCCTAAGGTACCCTGGAAAATAACTGAAGCCGGTCCTCTCTCCTTTAACCTGCTATAGAGTGGAGTGGGGAGTCACTAGTGGGGACAATCTCCAGGATGACCAAGGCAGAAGCCAATGGAAATATCAATTATTAAAATAATTTATGCAAAATGTTTCATTTACAATTCTGTGATACATGATGCAAGAGTCTAATTTTTTATATTAAATCCCTTGAAGTGTTCAAAAGAAACATCCCCCTCGCCCCTCTGTGGTGTGAGTAGAATGGAGTGGAAATAACTTTATACTTTCTTCCTTTCCAGGGGTGTGTCCAGCAATGATTTCTCATCTTTAGAGACTTTATGTAAACAGTCCGCAGGCTGACGCTCTATCCACTGAGCCAAACTGGTTTCGGCGAGAGTCTAATTTTTTATATTAAATTCCTTGAAATGTTCAAAAGAAACACCCCCCTCGCCCCTCCGTGGTGTGAGTAGAATGGAGTGGAAATAATTTTGTACTTTCTTCTGTTCCAGGGGTGTGTCCAGCAATGATTTCTCGTCTTTAGAGACTTTATGTAAGAAAATCATAAAGGAAAAACAAGCTTTTGAAAGGTTGGAAGTTAAGAAGGAAACTTTACTGGAAATGTTTAAGGTATATCAACCGTAACATGTGGCACCTACTCTTCTATCCCTCATTAGTGTGATTTGAAGCCATTACTCTTGGGTTTCGTGCACTAAGTTGAAACCTACTCTGTTCCTTTGAAAATGTAACTATGCTTTCAAAACGTGAAACACGAACATATTTATAAGCGTGCAGTGCTTTGGTAAGATGTATTTCGATTTCTATGTTAGCTGTGGTATTTAGAGGTAAAAAAGGATAGTTTTAAAAATATAATTTTTGCTGTTTTCAGTACAACAAGTTCAAATGTCGGATATTGAATGAAAAAGTGAATACTCCAACTACCACCGTCTATAGGTGAGACTGCCAAATGTCATGAAATAAAATTGTGTGCATGTCATTGTAAGCCTTTATTGAAATTCCTTTCATTTCACCTTTAGGTGTGGCCCCTTGATAGATCTCTGCCGGGGTCCTCATGTCAGACACACTGGCAAAATTAAGACTTTGAAAATACACAAAGTAAGCAATACAGCCCAAGAGGCTCTCTCCATGTAAATGTATTTGTGTTGGATGGCTGGATATTTAAACGTCCATTGATTTCTCTTCCTACCTATTTGCTTTTGGGCGGGTTTTTTTCTCACGCTCTCTCCTGCCTGTGCTGCTAGAAGTCATTGGGCATTTTTAGCAGAAAGTCTCCGAAGCGGTGGCTGACCAGCCGCCCACCACCAGGGCACAGGGGGTGGGGTTGGGGAATCACAAAATCACACAGTTATGGGCCATCATGAAGCTTCCAGACTCACGGCAGGAGCATGTGCTTTTGCTCTTTGTGTGTCTAAGGTAGTAATTACCCAGGTGGTTCACGCTAACCTAGCTAGTCCTGGCAGTCTCTGCTAGTTCAGACACACTTTATGGGCGATGATTAAAATGCACTGTAAATCGTAAGCATAATTGAGTCATTTCAAGATTTTTTTTGTTGCCTTCTTTTCCATTTTTGCTTACGAATGCTTTAAAAGATGCCCTTGCCGTCAGTCATGTTCGTGGAGGTGTGGTTTGAGGGGCGTGGCGGGTGGGTTTTCTAAGGGAACCGAACAGCCAGCTCTGTGCTGCCGGGTGAACCCAGCTGTTTAGCTCTGTCCCAGAGCCACTAGGGATGTCTCACTAGGTGTGAACTTTTTGTGACTTTTCTTGTGTAAGGACTACTGTGAATTTGACTCATAAGGTGCCTATGGGAACTAACATCTAACTCTTAAAATTATTGAGT